TAGGAATTTCGGGGCGCATCAGACCAGTGATATGTGTCACAGTACGTTCCTTGGCTAGAAGATCCATAAGAGGGACTGTGGAGAAATGGTTATTGAGATCGTCCAAGCCAATTGTGTTGGGGAGGTCTGGATATTGCGCTTTGCCGACACCTAGAGTTCCAAGGAATTTCCAGATATCGGCAGGAGAAGAATGAGAGATATTTTCGAGAACATGGCGGCGTTTAGCGTTACGTACCAACTGGTTACACCGATTTCTTGCAACCTTATAGGCTGCCCAGCTTTCTTCCGTGCGGTCTCTGCGATGCTTGCGAAAGGCTCGGTCGCGGCGCCTCATCGCCATTCTGATCCCTTGCGTCATCCATGGTGCAGGTGGCCGCTTAATCCTCACCCTCCTAATGGGAGCATGGCGGTCATACAAGTCCGTTACCTCAGCATTGAAAATTGCCACTTTATCATTGACTTCAATCGCCTCCATTAGAGGCTCCCAGTCAATCATTGACGCATCATCATATAATTTTGCTTCATCCATTCGCGCAAAGCAACGCCTGTACAAAACCTTGGGCTTCACCCTGGGCGGTTTTAGGATGTAGGAAAGGAAGATCAGGTCATGGTGAGAGAATCCAGGTGCGTCATGTTGACCATGACAGGATACTAAGGAAGGATTGGAGGTAAGGATTAGATCAAGCCAAGAATCATCACCCACAATGTTGTGGTGGGTGGGATTGAGCGGCAGTATATGAAAATTGGCTGACTCAATTATATGAAGGAGTTTACGGGATCGATGGGATTCGTGGGAAAGGAGATTAGTGTTAAAATCGCCCATGACTATGTGATGCGCGTACCCAGAACCCAAAGATTCAAGAACCGATTCGAAGTCAGTGAAATAATCAACAGTAGGAGGACAGTAGACAACTCCCAATACAACTTTCCCCCCTCGGCTACAAACTTCAAGGAAAAGATACTCCGCGGGACAGTTGGGAGAAGAAGAAAAGAGGACCTTATACGAAAATTCGCTCCGGAGATAAATACCAACACCACCCCCTCTCTTAACTGTGCGGTCATTTCTTATTAGAACATAACCTGGGAGAGGGTAGGTTGTGGACAGCAGTGGTGGTTTGAGCCAAGTTTCAGATATCAGAATGGCGTGGACATTGCTATTATTGAACGTGTCAAATAAGTCGCTGTGGTGGCTCGGAATGCTTTGTGCATTTATATGGCAGACGTTTAGCAAGCGATTATTTCTATCGACAAAACGATTATGAATAAAATCAGTCAGAGAGTCAGCAAAAGAGCAAAAGCTGTCACCGTCAGAGGATACGTTGGCTGTTAAAAAAGAATCATCATCAGACATGAATAAAATAAATAAATATATGAGTATTAGATATAGATATAAGTAATTAATATGAATATAAATGTTACAAAAATAATCCGCGTCACAACAACCGGTAATGCAACCCTGCACCACCCGCCAGCCAACATCAACAGAAAAAAAAAAACAAAACAAACAACAAAACGTAAAAATAATAATTGAACAATAAACAAAAATACTCCGAAACATAAAATCATCAATCGTCTCCAAAGTGCATCCATGCCCCTATGACGCTGAATAAAGAAAAAATGATTAATTATAAACAATTAGAAAAGCAAGTGAAAAAAAATAGTAATTTTTACATAATCCAATACAAAACAAAACGCAAATTAAAACAGAAAAAAACAAAAAAAAAAAAAATTAATGGGCCATAAAGAAAGCATAGACCTTCACTTCAGAGTCGTGCAGAGACAAGACTTTGTGATAACGTCACGCTAAGTGTCATCTGTCTGCCATCCGTCATGAAAGATGACACATGACAGCCGCGCTACACAATCAAAATTAACAAACACCTTACAACAAACAATAATGCCGGCAAACAGCAAAAGCGATGTAAAAATATTAGAAGAGTGAACAAAGTGATTGTGGAATATATTTGCAGTATAAAGGAGGTACAACAGAATACACAAATCCACTTAGTACCTACTCCTGTGTACATTGAGGCCATGGGCAACAAAGACATTACCAACGAAAATAATTTACGGTAAAGAGATGAAACAAAAACCTCAATAAGTACACAAGAATAAGGTATTGGCTGTGACATTACCAATGCTGCCAGTCGGTACTTATCTGCGTGCGTTTTTCAGGTTCCCGCCAGACTCTTCTGTACTCCGCTTAGCAGCCGAAGTGGACGAGCTTTGCGTGCTCGGGTACTTGGTCAGCAGAGGACTCAGCTCGCCCATCGTAGTCACTCTGCATTTACGCCCATCAGAAGTCTTGATGTAGATAACGCCATCCTGAGTCCAGCAAGCCCGCATACCGAAATGCTGCCGCGCCTGCACGAAGATATTCTGCCTTTCCTTTGTTAAGAACTCTCTGATGGTGATCTTAGTCCCTTTTAAATTGGATTTGGCCCGCCATACCGTCGCTTTAATATGCACATCCGCAAACCTGACGAGAAGAGGCCTGTGATGGTCAGAACTAGCCTGTCCCAGCCTGTGAGACACCTTTATGGAAGATGTGGTGAGATTTAATCCCAGTTTCCCGTTGATAACATCCAGTGCCGCCTTATTACAGTCCTCATTCTCACTTTCAGGTATGCCCTGGATAATCAAAGCTTTTCGACGGCTCTTTGTGGCGAGCCAATCGATTTGCCTGGAGCAGTCGGTTATCTGATATTAGTTGGTGTAGTTACAAAATGTAACTTATAAATATGTGGTTTTAAGTTCAAAATGAGTGTGATGCTTTGTAAGATCAAAAATAGAATATGCAGAACATACAACGTAAGCTTTCCTATAGATATTAATCAGGTAATTAGGCGTGATGGTATTTTAATAATTTTTGTTGTAATTAAAAATGTAATACATAATTAATAATCTACATAAGTTCGCTTTAGCAATAAGTAATTTCTTTTTCTTACGGAGACACCAACGTGGAGTATTTTCAGTTGTGGTTTCAGTTCAGTTTATAGTGCAGTCATGTATAAAACATATAACAACAACAAGTTGATCTCTAACAAAAACTTGGTTGAAAATCTAAGACAATACATCAATATAAAATTATTCGATTTCGCGACTCGACGGCATGAAATGTTCATGAACCAAAACTGGTAAGTCCAAATTCAGTAACGAAGATGTAAGTACTTAGTGATTTTCATCAATAACGAGAGAGATATTTTTCCTCACAATTTTAGAAATAGCGTGGGTCAATCATTGTGGCTATTCTTATTTATTTCCATACCAGTCCACTACGGAGATTAAATCTCGGAATCCTACGCAATATCAGGTACCTGCCCCTATTTCTGATTTAATAAGATAAATAGCCTTGTTTTTCATTTCATGGAAAATATAACTAAATTCCGTCTATTTTCTGCAAAGCGATAGAGGTTTTTGCTCTGTGAAATGTTGCTTTGCTTGATTTCTCTCTTCGAGATCACAAAAATAAAATTTCCTATATATTTAGGTAGGTACTTATTTAAACCTAAAAATAGAACAATGACTTCTGTATCTTATTAGTGGTCGGTTGGAAAATGCTAATTATAGCACTTTGGGACATAGTGAGTCGAGTTCCGAAACGTCGGAAAAGGAGGATCCTCCGACCAGGCGAAGTGTTTGACTGTTCGTGCCTGTCGGACTTTCTGCCCACGTAATCCGTTGATTTGTTTCCACGACCTCAAGGTCTGTAATACTTCTGAAAAATGCTGCCCGGAGTCCAAGTGCGGTAAGTTAACTTGGTGGAACTAATTAATTGATGGTGCATGTGCGTTAGCTGTCATCTGACATACGTATCAAGTGTCGTCACAGCACCTTCGTTGGAAAAGGATGAAGGAACTGTCAGTCTTTTATTTCCTAGGAAATTCAACTCGAAGAAGTTCTGAAATGTGAACTCATATCAAACATACCTAAATATATGCATGTCATTCCATCATAGTTCATTCACCTTAGCAAAAACGGTTAAGCAGAGATATGCTGGGGTACCCGGGTTAGCCATACTTCGCCAAGTACGGTCATATTACGTTTTATATAGAGCAATCCTTTTTCCGGCTATGGTGCGTCGATAATAAAAAAATATTATCATAGACACCTACATAAATTTTATATCAATCGACGCATTCGATTTCCGGATCGCAAGTCATCGGGTGCTTTTGGTGTTAAAAGGGTTCAAGTATATTAATGACATTATTTAGATTTCTGTTAAAAATAACAGAACCACCGAACCTTATCTTTTTCTACGTGTCTTCTATCTTCTATTACATATTATAAAATCGTAGGAAAGAGAAAATTGTACAATTAATTTTTTTTTAATAATGTTTGAGGCGTGATCTGCACTCGATATCGAAGCCAAACATAATGGTGTTTTATAATTTTTGTCTATTTGTCTGCATGTATGTCTGGGCTAAACTCAAAAAGTACTGTATGCATTTACTTCTAATTTTTCATGAAAAGTACTAACATATCACGCTAGTAGACGCACGTAGGTGACTACGGGGGAGGAGCTGTGAATCACTATTCCACGCGGACAAAGTCGCGGGCACAGCTTGTATATTCCCTTTTCGTTGGGTGTGTTAAAACGCTCACAATTTGCAAAGCAAACCGTTTTCCTTTTCTCAAGTTCTCAACTCAACTCAAAAAGTTAAACTCAAAAAGGGCGTGGCCGGGTAACGTTCCTGTTAGCCCTACTACATGAAAACGGAACGTCAAATAAATCTTTTAAGAATATACATAGGGATATCCAGATAAAGTGTTATTAGGTGGTTTATTTTTATTAACAGCCCATGGCAGTCCATTAATGATCTAAGGACCTCCTTCAAACTTCATTTCCTCATTGGAACATTGGAAGGTTTGCACAGTTTCAAAGGTTCTCGTTTATCATCACAACTGAGTTTAATTGAGAATACCCAGTTCTTTTTTATGGGATAAATCGGAAACGAGCAGACGGATCACCTGATGGTAAGCAATCGGTGTCACACATGGACACTCGGGACACCAGAGGTGTTACAAGTGCGTTAGCAGCCTTTTGCGGATTTGAAATTTGGGAATTCAGGAATTGGACAGATTGGGGAGTGGGGGGGAGTAATTGACTCTCCAGTAGCCTCACCCATATGACGAAATATAACGCAAGCGTTGTTTCACGTCGATTTTCTATAAGGCCGTGGTATTACCCCAGTCGAGCCGGCCCATTCGTGTAATATGTGCTTCAAACTAAAAAAAGAATCTACCTACTTCTTTAAAAATGAAAAGCTCTAGGCATGTTGTCAGAACATGTCACATTTTTGAAGTTAAGTAATTACATGGTACAAAACGACGATCTACTTCAAAAGAGAATATATCGAAGGAATGTGGAACACGAACGATGGAGATATGATTGATTGATTAGGTGGAGACGACATTACATCAAGCTACCACTTTAACAATTTTCTTCACTTCATTTTCAGCTTTATTATGTTATAGTAGTATCGAGAATCCATTGAATACGTTTAACAGTTTAGGATAACTTTATATGTGGTATTTACAACGTAGATTGAAATATAAATAAGTCTGTCTGGAGCACCAGATTATTACATGGTGTGACATGAAATTAACATGAAATATATTGAAAAGTAAATGTTCAGTCAATGGCTGAAAGGCTTTGATCTCGTCTTAAACATGATGTATAAGGAAATTGGAAATTTCTATTAAGATGATGAGAGAGACTGTCTCGTTGGCCGAGTGGTCCCAAGTGCGACTGCCGGGCAAGGGGTCTCGGGTTCGATTCCCGGGGCGGGCAAAGTATCACTGGGTTTATTAAAAATTCTCAGTAGTAGCACGGAGCCTGGAGTTGTGCCCAGTATATGGCAATAGGCTCACTCATTCTTACATGGGACTCGTAACATACCTAAATAGTGAAAAGATCTTGTACAGTGGCATAATGTGCACCTCTACCTAACCTTTCGGGGACGAAAGACGGAATGTTATGTTGTGTATATATGTATGTATTAAAATGAGGTAATCATTACGTTGTTTTCTGACTCGTAGATAAAATCTCAATAAGATATTTATTTTTTGCAGTGCACGTCTTGTCATTAATATTGAGGTGACGATGACACGGTTTCTTCTTTTTAAGCGTCTTTAAAAAGGAGGTTCAAAGGAGGTTATCCGTTTGACCTATATGTATGTATATTTGTGCGCGTTTATCTCGCAATTGTCTGTATCGATTTTAATGCGGTTTGCAGAAAAGTGTATTGTTACACGTAGGAGAAGGTTAAAGTAAAGCCGACTTAATTTACCGACTTCAAAAAAAGTTGTTGAAGTATTTTTTTAAACGTTGTTTATAATAGAATTATTATAAATCGGTCTTTTTATTACTGAAAGTTATATGTAAGTTGTGTTATATCCAGGACAAGAAAAGACTGTTGATGACGATGATAATTTATTTATTTATTCTTTTATGTACACAATTTTATTATGGCACATAAGGCGAACTTAATGCCATATGGCATTCTCTACCAGTCAACCTTAGGGTTTAAGAAGAAAATCAGCAAAAAAGAAGGTACGGAGAATAAACTAACAGCAAAGAGTGTGAGAGAGAAAAAAAGAAAATATTGAATAATATAGCTATACATATATATTATACAATACTAAAAAATATATATATATAGTCATATGCATAAAATATATAGGTATAAATACATACATAAATATATATCGACGAAGGCCTAAACCATGCTTTGCAGCGATTTTAAATAAAATTCGTGAACTTGATGTTTAAAAGAGATTTTATTAGGAGCTTTTTTGATGTTGAGGGGGAGCGCATTCCAAAGTTTGATGACAGTTATTGTAAAGGAATTAGAAACGAAAGAGGTGCGGTGGGAAGGTATTTCAAGAAGCAAGTTGTCCGTCGAGCGGAGGTTACGGTTGTGGCAACTGCCTAATAACTGGAAGCAGGATTTTAAGTATTCTGGAGCACAAGGATCATTAAGAATAGAGAAGAGCATGCAGAGGGATAATGATATGTAGTCTCACTCACGCACACGTCAGTATACGACACTCCTTCAAGCGTTTTGTCAGTCAATTCTAGACGTTACCCATGGTTTGTGGAACTGACGGGTTGATGAAGCTCTTGACTGCATTCTAGGTAACAAGAAAGTAAACGACCACGAAGTCTTTTTTTATCAACCTGACTAACAGACACAGGTTTTCCAGGATTTTCGCAACTCTTTCTGAGAGATTTACTTACTGAGGTCCAACTACTTTTGTAGCTGTGGGAAAGCTGGATACCAAAAGACAAGAAATGTATTACAAACTATTTACATACTTCTAATTAGAGTAGGTGGGTGTACCACCTACTATTCCTGGAATTATTATAATGTATTGTAGCCTTTACACCTACGCCCAAACATGTTTCATACTTGATGGGATACATACAATTGTGAACGGAATTTTGTAAAAGGCGGACTTATTGCTTATTGCCACACACAGTTGCCGGACCTGCCGGTACAGTTCCAGCTACCAATGACCACAAGGATACTAAAAACCTTATGCAATATGAAATACGGTATATTATATGAATTTTAAATCACTGCCTTCTCTTCTTCTCTGTTTGAGAAAGCCTTTGCTTAGCAGTGGGCATACATATCAATGATAATGATGACTCACTGCGTGTCTGATGACGTATCTATGGCAGAGAAACCATAGTGGCATGAAAAATATTAATCAATATTAAATAAATATTATAAATATAGTACAGAAGCAGTAATTTACGGTTCTAGAGAATGGGCGCTCCATATAGTCGAGTAAAACAAACACAAATGACGAACTACGCTTTAATTAGGGTTCCGTAGAAACTGAGCGATAGCTGCTAAATGCATATCGAAGCAATATGCCTTTGAATTCTGACTCCAGCC